TTATAGCATGAAAACTATAACAAGCACAAAATGGTTATGAGGTTGGTCCCAGGGACCAAGCCCGTACTGAAATAGTTAAAGCAATTTGCTGTCTGTTCTTTGTCACCTACATGAATCAACATTCTTTTAAGCCTTGTACTGAAGACACTAGAAGTATTTTTAAATTATTATGACATTACAAAGGCATTAAGGGATATGCAAGGCAAATGCACATTAACATTGGACAAATGAATAATGGCTTCTACTAATTTTCCAGGGCAATTTGCTTGTAAAATTAGCATTAAGATTTGCAATATTTTAATTGAATTGACTTTTAACTAGAAATTTTATAAAATTAAGTGAAAGAAATTTTTATTGTAAAAATCAGTAATAAATGTAATATTTAAGTTATTAAAAGTTTTGTAACCATTTTTATATTGTTCAATATAAATATCTATGTTAAAGAAAACACGGTAATAAAACATGTTTATCAAGACTCATTCACTCAGTAACTTAAGTTGAATAAAGCAGTGCATTTCTCTACATTAGTAGATGTATGCATAACTTTTGTGCAAAGATGTCTAAACTCCTAAAAAACTATGAAACTGGTAATAAGACCTGCAGGGTCACCTATTCAGTCTGCCCAAAATTAATATAACAATCAGTATTATACCACAATATAAACTGATATGCAAAACTGTAAAATATATATTGATATTTATAAATCTGCAAATTACAGCTTCACTAAACTTGATAATGATTTGCTTGAAAATTTAGTAAAACTAAGTAGCTTTCCGTGCCATTTATTCGAGACTAACACATACCTCGACTCATCAGGACTCAACCTTTCCTGAACTCCTGTTCCAGCCAGGTTAGTGCCTGAAATGTCCAACGATGTTAACTCTGGCAGACTGTCTACAATTTTTCTTAAAATTTGATTTGGGTCATCATACAAATTGTGTTGTTCTCCAGACTGGGAAATATCTAAGTGCCTATAAACAGATGAAAAAATAATTGCAATAATCAATTCCGTGTATAAGGTTTACAAAACTAAAGTAATTGAGAAATCTCGATATCTCAAATTAATATATGTTCAAAAATGTAATAAATTTGGGACAAACAACTACAATTGTTACAGGTTCTTTGTTGACTTGGTCTAATTCAACTGTAGTTTCACTCAATCATGTGCACCTAAGGTTTACCCCAGTATACTTGACTTTGTTTCTTACAATGCCAAAATATGTGATTTTATGCCCTGCAGTAGACTCAGCAAATAGTCCAATGTGGCTTTTCTAAAAACTGCATACACAAAGTTGAACTTATTTAAGATAAAAAAATAATGTGTTGTTTCTTAAAGCTATTTTCAAAATGAATTAATTTGGACTCCAAGAAATCTCATTTCTATTTTACCAAAATCTTGTATGATTAGAGTAATGAGGTTCTTGTTGGATCATGACTAGCTTATTCGATAGCTAATCAATTTCTTTATTTTCTTGTAAAATAATCATTTAAAAACTGATTTAAAATAATTAGAACATACCATTGCAGGAAATTTGGGGATATTTTTTAATTTGAGTAATTATAATGATTTTGAGCTTGCATCTGATTTATAATTTATCTCTGATATAAACAACAGTATTAAGTTCAAAGTCAGCTATCAACAAGACCATTAATTTGATATTCTTAAAACACTAGTACATAACAAATATATATAATATATATATTCAGTTCTTTATTTTATCTTTATACCAGTGATTCTTACAATTAAAGATTTTTAGAAGCTGTACTACAAATGAGTCATAAGTTCAAGAAAAGTGTAAATCAGTGTTAGAAATTTCACCCATATTTAACAACATATTTTTAAAACCCTCCCATACATGACAAGCATCTTTATTTAAGTCAGTATTCCAATCACTCAGAGCCAATTCCTGTCTCACGCCCTCAAAATTGGTTTGGTTTATATTGAATTTCATTTCAAAGCTACATGAGGGCTATCTGCACCAGCCATTCCTAATTTAGCAGTGACAGACTTAAGGGAAACCAGCTAGTCAATACCACACACCACCAATTCTTGAGCTACTTGACCATCACATTATAACACCTACACAGCTGAAAGAGTGAATATGATCGGTGTGACGGGGATTCAAACCTGTGACCCCCAGATTGCAAGTCAAGCACCCTAACCAGCAGGCTATGCTAGGCCTCAAAATTAGCCTTCCCACAATTTGGAATCAAAATGCTATTATTCTGGATCCCCATGGGTATACTACCTGAAACTTAATTAAACAATTATCATTTTTACCCCACTTTCACCCATCAACCATATCCACATTGGAGGTTAGTAATAAATCTAAAACAGCATCCAACCTAGCAAGTTCCCTAACTATTTGATGAAGAAAACCATCATTCACACAATTTGACACTAAAGTTTCCCAATGTATTAAGGAAGCAAAGGGTTGTATCAAAGGTGACCACCCAGTATTTCTGCTAATGTTAAAGCAGAAATAAATTGTTTCAGAAATACTTGGAACAGTTTCAAAACATTCTAGAATATTCTGATTGTTCTTTTCAGTTTAAATGTACATCTACTATCCAGGCAAGTTATGCAAATACACACTACGTTCATTACAGCAAGAAAACAAAAAATCAATGTAACATCTTCCACAAAATATTACAACAAAATTTGATAAATATTATAATCTAAAATTTAGTAGAGATTAATTTTCTGTGATAATATTTTTAGGTAATGTTACAATTGTAGATATTTACATATAATTTGCCCTCAAAAGCCAATATAAGTTTGCCAAAATATCAGATGTTATGTAACGGGCAGATATGGTATTTTCAACCTGAATGGCACCTAGACTAAATAGCCAATTCAGAAATATCTAAGGTTCAGGTATAACCATCCCTAATTTAGAAGTACTGAACAGAGAGAGGCCAACCAATCAGCAGAACTGGTTGTTACAGTTACAATGTTTCCATTGTGGGAAAATGTTAACCATTAAGTTATGGTTGGCCGAGCAAGCACGTGAAATCCAGAAGGTCAGAGAGTTAACATAACAAATGATTTATACTAGTTTTATTATAATAAATAATAATTATTAAGAATTGTAACTTATGCCACAATCTAGTTACACCTCTTTACTGATTTGTATCAGATGTAAATATATACACGCCAAATAACTGAAAAAAATATGCTGCAATTCATTACATTATTTGAGAAACTAAAACACAACCTTCAATATTTAAAACATTTCATTGAAAATTAAAAACCCAAAACTGGAAATAAGCAGTATTAAATAGAAAAAGACAATAATATTTTGTTTGTTTGTTTGTAGCTAAGCACAAATCTACACTGAGACTGAGTCACTGAGGGCAGTAATGAACTATGGTTTTAAATGTAAATATATATATATATGAATATAATAAGTATCTATACTTTTCAGTTACATGTAACACTGATAATTGGAAAAAATTGTTTCACACATATTCATACACGGGTCTCAAAAGTTAATTTACATGTAACAGGTTTGTTATCAGTTTTTTAGTTATTTAAATTTAGGGATAACCATGATGAGTTGAATAATCTAATGTTAAATGTTCTTTTCTACATTTTGGTTCTTAAATACAACAATAAAAGTACTGGCTCATCCACATGATAAAACTTAGCACAAGGCCACTATCTGCTTTCTGATGAAAGTGTACAGGGATCAAAATGTTACATTCCTGCACTCTCAAAGAATTTAACTGTGCTTGAGGAATTTCATCTTTTTAGTTTGCTTTCTCAAACAGGAATGCATGGTCCATTCTTATTCCTTTAGTTATGACCAATGAAAGTGAACATATTATATGGATTAAATAAAAAAAAAAACAATTCATGAGGAAATAGAACTTTACATGAGAGAATGTAATCTTCCTGATAGCTTTCCTTCAAGTGAATGTAATTTTATTTCATTATTTCTATCCCTGGCCTACATCTATTATATCACACTAGTTAGTACTTTCTGTTAAAAGTATAGTTAACTTTATACCTTCAAGTAATTCCTTATATACACACTAACTGTCAGGTCTATTTTATAAGTCTTTCAAATGTGCCAGAGAGACAAATAAAGCTATGTTTAAAAGAAAAAGGAAGAGAGAGATGAACACAACAAGTGTATTTACACAAACATATATACACAAAAGTGTAGGAAAAAATTACCAGAAAGTCTCTGATTCTTAATAAGGTTGGTTCAATTTAAATTTATTTTGGTCTAATATTTAATTTTTCTCAAATAAATCAGTAATGCAGCATAACTTAATATAAAATGCTTAATAAAATAATAATCAAAATTAATTTACATGAATATCAGATCAATATATATAGATACATCAAATTATAAATTAGAAAAGCCTCTCACTTTGGTATAGAACCTATAAGTGCACCAGCTAAAAATACAGCAAGCTGTAATAAGTCTTCATTGGGATCAGAAACAAATTCAATATATATTACAGTTATGGTTTTTATATGTACAAAACTCCCTAGCATCAGTATAAAAGTTCTTGAAAATCACGTGATAATTAGAACTATACATACAAGTATTAGGAATAAATCCAGGCCAATTTTGAGGCTGCTAAATAGTCATTTTTACAAGCAAAAATAGGTAAGAAGTGTCATAAAAATACTGTATTTATTACAATAGTTTACCTTCATGAATTATGTTAAAAAATTAGCACATTAAAAAACATTAGAAGTTTTATCTATTGGCATTATTCAGGTAAGTCACCTAATTTTAATTTTATGTTTCATCAAATTAAATTATAACAGTGCTAATCTGTGTTTGGTACAAGTCATAACTAATAGCTGTGAGTATAATTCACTGAAAATAAACATTATTCACAGGATATAGTGAGCTATGATTCACAAAACCTAATGATCTGTGTGCTTTCAAAAGATGTACCTTCTTTCATCAGAGCTGAATTAAGAAATGACATCGTGAATTATAAATCATGGAACTCTATACCTATACACAACATGTTTGAAAGCTACAAGCAACTTAATATAGGACAAATTCAATATATCTTTCCCATGCCATAAAATGTGTAACATATGCTGTCTAAACAAATACGTAGGAACACTATTATAAAAATTAGTTATTTTTCTACACACTCAAATAAACCTACGTTTATGAGCTTTAGATAACCAGTTACAATAACAATATTCCTAGATACAGTCTGCAAATTACTTTTTAAATGTAAAATAGTACCAATCATTTAAAAAAACATTTTGACTGCATAAAAAAAGCATGCACCTAACTAAATATGGCTATAAAAAATTTGTTTAAAAATGACATTTTTAGTTTTATTGTATTAATTATCACTTACCTTAATTTCTTCAGCTGACATAATGTTGTGATAAATTCTTCCAGTTGAGGCACATTATACAATACAAGAGATGTTAAGTATTCAAGTTTTTTAAGATAACTCAAGTCTTTGACAGGAACACAAGAAGAAAGATCCAAATGGGTTAGCATTTTTAATGGTTTCAAAAGTGTCGAAAAAAAATTATACTCATTTGGAACTTCAAGGCCTCTGAGAATTAGTTTTCTCAGATTAGGAGTTTTCAGTATATATGTATGTGTTTCAGTCTCTTCAGAGGTGTCAGTCAAGGATAGATCAAGAAATGAGAGCATTGAGTGAAATATTTGGACACTTGTTCCAATGCACAATGACAATATACTTGAACCAGCATTATTGATTATTTCTAATGACCTTTCTGTCAGGCCAGAGCAGTTTGAAATACCTAGTTCTACTACATTGTGACGAAGCACAATTTCTAAACCTACATCAGTAATTTTAGAATCGTGAAAATCTACCTTTCTCAATCTCGTTCTAATAGGATCTTTAAAAAGATGTAAAACTGTATCATCAATTGTTTGATGCATATCTTCTCGAAATACATGTAACATTCTTTCACATATCCCAAGCTGAAGGGAAATACCATGTCGTAGACTACACGTATATGGTTCATTTTCTGAGACTATGTAGCATATGATGTGTTGATTTTCAAGACAATACTTTATACAAATGTCAAGCAAGGAACTTGGACTATAAGGTTCCCATACAGACCTCAACCTTGGAAATGCTGTCATTTTCTTAGCAAGCACTTCAATCAATGGGAGTATTTTATCTACTCACATAGATATAACATGTTTTTAAAACAGAATAAAGTGCAATTTTCAGGACCTTTCTCCAATTCAAACTTCACAGGTCTTCATTGAATGTTTCACCTGTATTTCATCTTTAACCTTAAAACAAATCAAAGAAAAATCAGCACTTGTAATTGTTAAAATGAAAAACCTAATGTACACATCATCATATAAAACAAATTTTCATTTTACTGTTGATAGTGCTCTCAAAGATAAAACTTTTACCCAGTCTCATGAACAATCAAGACAAACAAACAAGTGGGACTGAGAAGTTTAATTTTTGAAAATCTTCTTACATTAAACAACTTCTATATATGTTACCAAACTTTGTTTGTGTTTTGTATAGATATTTTTTACTACATCATATGCTTGAGTGGGATTATATCTAATTTATTATATATATACCATTTAGAGATACAATAATTTAAATTTGATACTTAACTTTCCCAAGCACAATATATCATTCCAAACAAATTTAAGGAACAAGCAAAAGCCCTTCCCTATAGTTACTAATGACCAGATTGAAAAACAAAGTTTAATTATTGAGAATGGAAGGTACGTAATAGCTCATAGGAAGTAATCTTCAATGCAAAAATGTATATTCATTTTGCTGAGGAAGAAAAGGGGTGGTTGTAATGACAAAAAGAAACTGATTTTATTAGTTAAGAATTTATGTTTGCTCTTGATAGATGTATTTCAGAGTATCATATTTAGCTGTAGTCTTAATACAGAGGAAAAACTTCTTGTTATTCCTGACCTTATATACACACCCCCTTATATACACACACAAAGCTTTATGTATGTTAAACTAAAAACATTTCAATTTGACCACTTTAAAATGTACAACTATGATGCAGATGTTCAAAATAGGAAGAGTGGACAATCTGCCTTTAGGCCAAATGGTTGTTTTCTGGAAGACTGGTGGCTTGAATACAAATACTAGAGGTCATTCTTACAAGGCCTAGATGCAAGCTTGTTCTTAAACAAAATTTCTTTACCATTAGGGTGGTTAATTTGTAAGATGTTTTAACAATGAAGTAGGTGATATGTGTGTAATTAGTTAAGATTTAGATTTTATAAAATCTTTGTAGGGTGAGTTTTCAAAATCAAGAGCTAAATTGTATACTTTTTAGAATCTGAGAAGTTTACGGATGACCTCAATGAGTTGACTACTTCCTTGTCACTGATTTGTTTGTTACTCTTATATTTTAAGTTAAACAACATAATTCTCAATTTTAAAGAATTCATGTTATTTATAAGTTAAATTTTACATTTTTAGAATCTAAATGAATTTAAAACAGGTCCTAACTTCTGAAATAATACAAAGAGGTTTCTCTGTTTTTATCTCATGCTGTCAACAACCACGTGATAAATTTTTGAATGTCCTTGACACATTGCAAAGCAAACATCAACTTACTAATAGTTCTCAACTCTTTCACTTTCCACATGACCTACTACACCTCCATTAAATGTATATAAACTCTGCATATACACCATAAGCCAGATTTCATAATTGCAGTCTTGATGGAAAACCATTTATCTCCCAGTTGTAGTGAGGTGGGTGGGCATGTATTTCAGAGGTACCTGTTTGAAATTAATTTTGATTCAAAAAAATGCAAATTTCAAAACAGGAAGACTTACCTTTGAAATAAAACATCAAAATACCCACAATGAAATGGAGGATGAAACCAGAGAACTACAGAACTACTAGTTCACCAAAAACTACACTCTTAGGCAGGAAGGTAACAACCTAGATAATGGCAATTGATAGATGTGATAAGCAGAACTTGAATAAAATCAAGAACTAGAGTGAATGTCAATGGACAGGATTCATAGGAAAAATGAGTGGAACAGAACAGATTCTAAGAGCTTGGAACAAGTGAGGACACTGAAAAAAACAAAAAAACAGCAAGGTACTTCATTACCATAGACACCCTATAATTAATATATAAAAGGGGGTTAGGTGGCATGCATGTACCTGTGAAGCTTTCACAGTGGTGGTTTAACAGAAGCCAGGATCAGAATACAATACAATATCCTGTACCTCTAGTGGAAACTTCTTTAAGGAGTAAGCCAGTACTATTTAGTGACTATGCATGCTCCTATGGCTAAGGCACTTACATACACATTGGAAAAGGCCAGCCAAGCCAAACAAAACCTGCATAGTCAGTGCACACCAGGAAGAATTGAAAAGATCTGGGCAGATTCAAGGATAGGCTCTACAACACTAGAACAGTGCAGTGGAAACACTGAACTGGTTTTAAAAAAAAGTATAAAAATAATACAGTATGGTGTTCCACATCCTGGCTTTGAGCTATGAATATATGGTAACAGAAACTAAATCAGTGAGAGCTGCAACTATGCAAGACTACAAGATAAAAATTTGATTCTGATGAAAAGAATCCAGAAAACAAAAGTAGCTAATAACTAATAATTACCTTCAAGAAATAAATCCTCAAAATGAAGCAAATCACAGCAAATCAAAGAAGACCACATGGAATACCTCCCTCTCCATATTACAACAAAAAAAACAATCTGAGCATCAAAAACTTGAAGACTAAGACAAAATCCTAAAAGGCTATTAATTTTTAGCTGATTTCTAAAAGAATCAGCAATGAACTAAAATCAGATGTAAAATATAAAAGATTTAAGAACTGAACTGTCTAACATAGCATTAGCAGCCTAAGGCATAGCAGAAATTAGCTACAAGGTAATTCAGAAATAAGAAAAATCATATCAGCAGAAATTTCTTTGGTATTAGAATTAGCTAATCAACCCTGTTCTTCAGAAAATGAAAAGGCCTTTGCAAAAGATTGTTTTTTATTACTGTCATGAAAGCAACCACACAAATGTGAAACCTGTCAGGGATATCAATAGTCAACATGAAATTATGGTAGCACCAACCTTTAAAGAGCACCCCAATATTTCAAAAATCACATTTTTCAAATTTAGCCTAAATCGAAAGTTTAACCTCTTTTCTACATAAATAACTCATTTTTGTCCTAAAATCTTTACTAATTAACCTGTAGTAAGTAATTAAAAATAAAAATCTAGTCTGTTTTCATTCCGTTTCTACTTCACCATTAAAGCCAATATCAGCATGAAATTTAGCACACTTGTTGATATTCTTTTCCATAGCATGAATTTTTTAAAATTTAAAATTTTTTACCAATTGTCTTGTTATGAGTCTAATTACCACTAACGAAGGCATTAATTAAAATTATTTGCCTATAGCTTGTTAACGTTGCAGAAAATTTCAAAGCTTTAATTCAAGCTATGAGGAGGTTCACAAAGAGCATGTGTATCAATTTTCATGTTTTTATCATTCTCAAGTTATGGTGTTAAAACAGTTTATGTTATGTATTTCTTTATCCCTGTCACATTAATTATACATATGACATATATCACTGAAAGTGTACTTTCAAAGATTGTGAAATCATACATTTGTGCTCAACTTGAAGGTTATAAAAAAAGTCTTTAACAGTGTTTCCTCAGTATGTAAATTTGCCCAGTTTTAAGGGTCAGTGATACCTTAAAGGCTTGGATATGATAATCGAAAAAGGTAAACAATACAGCCACAGGAACTCTCTGCACACTAGAGGTAGACTACTTGAGTAATAAGGAGCCCCCCAAAAAATTGTAAAATTTCAAATATTGGTAAAAACATTTGCAAAAGTAGTTAACCCTTACTTCAGAATTCATAATGAGCAACACTTAAGCACCACTGCCAACAATAAAATCTAGATTACAGAAAGAAATCGAGGCTTATATACATCCTCTTGATGATGCATGTGCAATAAGTCATATGGAAGGTGGGACACTGGAGAGTTAACACATTTAGAACTTTAGTCACATAATTGTTGACACATGAAATCAACTAAAAAAGAAAAGGCTTTCCATATTTTAAAGGTACAACAGTCAGCATGTTTTGAATTCTTCTTCTAAATAAAATATTACTACAAAAATTTTTCCATAGTAAAAACTGAAGACTTACTGAAAATATGTATGCAAGTTTTAACAATATACATTGTTATTCTCATATAAAAATAATAACTAATGAAATATCATTCTTGAGAAACTAGTGAAAACCCATATTTTACCAATTTGAATGCTAATTTTTGTGTATCGTTTCACTGAGTTCAAAGCACTTGGATGAGTGAAATTTGTTTTAGGAACTTTTCTAACCTCATTTTACTTAAGAAGACAGGAATGATACAGAAGAGTTGTATGTACATGTAACACTTTGAGATTCATTTTGAAATAAAAATGGCAATTTCAAATATGAATGTTTACATTTACCTCCACTAAAACTTTTTAGCAAGAGTCCTTCCCCTAAACTCCACTGCTAACTCTACAACAACATACCAGGTAGTCATGCAGACCTGGGATAGAGACTAAAAAGTTCTTATCAAGGAAGCCTCAAATATCATAAGATGGGGAAGACTGCACTTTTAGTAGGGAATAATTAGCAAAATAGGAGAAATGGATAGTTATGGTAAAGGTAGCTTTAATGAAAGTAAGAATGACAATTTTGGGTTTACAAGGGTAACCAATATTAAAAGTTAAGGCTACATGGATTATTCTAAAGTCCTGATTATAAGCTATTAATTAAAAACATACTTTTAAAAGAGGGGCAGTTCTCTATACAATGGATAAGTTGAAACATGTTGAACTGAAGAGTTGAAAAAGGAACATCAATAGGTTTAATGTATACAGGTTACAATCAAAGGTTTCAAAGGTAGGAATATTATAACTGACAGATGCTAGAGGCTACCCAATCAGAAAAATAATTCAATGAGAGATTATTAAATGAGATCATCGCTGTACTGATGGAATAAACACAGCAAACATTACATTCAGACATACTAATTGCAATCAAGGGAATCAACTGCTGAGGGAGAAAGATTTCTTGAAGTAATTCAGAATGCTTTTTTTTTGGCATCTAATGGTCAAGTACCCAACCAGAAAAAATGCAAGTTGAGATACAATATGATAATAAGAGTTAATATGAGGAAATTATATGGAAACGTTATCCTTGTACAAATAGGTTTTATATTATGCTACATGTTTAAATCAATAAAAATGAAATTTTTGTTCCT